AAAAACAAATTTTTCAGGAATCACGAAGCAAGATATTTCGATTTTATTTCGAATTGCTTTTATTGCGGTAAAAATGCAGAAAAAAGAAATAATACAGATGTTTTAACTAAAATAGTTGAGCATAAGATAACAAAAGAGAATATTTAAACAAACATTAAAGAGAAGCAAGAAGACAGATTTCGAAAAAATCTTATTAACATCCAACACATTGATTTATCATGTCAAAACCGTGTACATCTTAAAATTGTTTTTCCAGTTTTTGGCAATTTTCTCGAAATTTTGCTATAGGAATAATATTTTTTTATTTCTGTTTATTAAAATTTGTCTTCCCGAAAATTTTGCTACCCCGCGCACCTCTGTACAATGAGGAAAATAGATTTTTCAGATCTCGGAAACGATTTAACCTTACGGGCCCAAAAATTGTTCTCCTTTTTTATCATAAAACAAGCTATGTTTAACCCAAATTTCAAACCCTTACGACTTTTTTCCCAAAAAATAAGAATAAAAAAAAAATGACTCCGGTTTTTCTAGGAAAATTGGAGGTTATGTGTAAATAGCGCAGATACAAAAGTTGTTCATTTTTTTATTCTCTATAACTTTTATATTGAACTTTTCGCCTAAAATTAATAGTTTTGCTGCAAATTGCAAAATACCAGTTTCCACCCTTTCAACCCCCGTGATTTCATCCGCGGAAAAATTTAGCTGTTTTAATTATTTTTCCCCAATTTCTAATCATGTCACCAGCATGAAAAACCCGATTTGAACTGGTATGGTAACTAATTTTTTTTGTAAAAAAATATTATACAGGGTGGTGACTTGCGTAACGCATTATAGGGATTTCAATGTAAAATTTATAACATGCGATTATTGCTCCCCAAATTATTTTAGAGCAAAAATATATTAAGATTTTTGTAGGAAAAAATTTTTTGCGTCAATCAACCGTATTAGTTTTCAATTTTTTGCATAATAAAGACGGAAAATTGGAAAAATGAAACCCCCATCTTTGTCAATAATCTGTGATGCCATGGAATTTTATAATACAAAAACTACGCCAATATCCGTCATGCCATGGAATGTCTGCTATAAAACGAATGAAATTCTATCAAAAAGTATTATATTTAGACCAGCGAATTCAACATAAAGAAAGGCCAAATTACCAAAAACGGTTTCCTAATATAACAATTTACAATAAATGTTTGAATAAGTTACCATTAACTGCAAGACAGTAACCAAGTCGATCATAAAATCCATTTCGAACTGTCGCTAATTGATAACTGGATATCTTTTTGTTTTAGAAAATTCCATGGCGTTGCAGATTATTGAAAAAGATGCGGGTTTTATTTTTCCAATTTTCCGTCTTTATATGAAAAAAATTGGAAACAAATACGGTTGATTGGCGTAAAAAAAATTTTTCTACAAAAAAACCTGAATACATTTTTGCTCTAAAATAATTTGGGGAGCCAATAATTGCATGTTATGAATTTTAAATTGAAATCCCTATGATGCGTTACGCAAGTCACCACCCTGTATAAATACATACATAAAATTGAAATCAAAATCGAAATATGCAATAATATACAGGGGGTTCGATTTAAAAATGCAACTTTCATATAAATCGCCCTATATAACAATTGCAATTTCGATGGCAATATTTTTGGTCCTTCAACATCCCGACAAAGAATTTTAAATATGTGCGTTAATAAACCCACAATCTTCCACCCATGCACTAATAGCCCATCCTGAATCGAACTCATACTTGGAAAGAGAAAGGTCTGAATGAGACGGGGGTTACAGGCATAGCTCTGAGTTATCAGTAGCAGTTACAGTTCATTTCATATCTTTCATTTTAATAAGAGAATTTTGTATATTTACTATGATATAGGTTGTCACCAGGGGATGAGAAGTGATTATTAATCCACCAATGTCATTTAGAGGTCTGTCTGTACCAGTGGTTCCCAAACTTATTTCCACGGCGCCCTCTTTCTTAAAACTAATATTGCTCGCGCCCCCCTATCACGTTTAAAAAATAAAAACTGCTGCTACTACAAACGTATTTATGAAAAAAATACAGGCTGAGTTTTTTTTTCATTTTCACTATGGGGACTCGGAAACCGTAAGAGATACAAATCCGCTTAAATGGGCAAAGTTATGCAGAATGCTATATGGTGATTAATTTTTCCTTTGTTTCTTGTAGGTCTACAAGAGCGAAGTTATGGCCAAAAAACGGAAAAATGTTTTCGAGAATGCATTGGCATCCATTTATTTTCAAAGATATCAAAAATAATTTTAACAAAACCTTGGTGAATTTTTCTCAATTTTCTGACGGTGCTAAAAAAATTGTTTTTAGTTATGACCCATAAATATGTTTTTCAAACGTTGGATTATTGCATCCATAACATCAACGGCTTTTGAGATCGTTTTTAGTTCATTCGATCCAGTCCGACACATTAAATTTGGTGAATTTTTCGCTTATACGGGCTGTTTCGTGCAAACCGTTACCTAAAAGTACCTATTTAGACTTCCATTAATAATTTAAATCTGAATATTTTTGCATACCAACATAGTTTTTGGTGCTCTATCGAAGGAAAATATACCGTGATTCGTCCCGATTGTATCGGAAGTGGATTGTAACTTTCTTATTTTAAATAGAACAACCCTATATGTTATTGCATTTTCAAAATCTACGCGTTTATTTCAACGCGTCCTAAGAAAATTATATGCATATAACGGTTACAATTTTAGAAAATCTTAATTAAAACGAAAACCTTAACAGATAGGTATTATACATATAGAGAATATAATACTTGATCGATGTACAATTTTTTTCTACATTTGAGAGTGCACATAAATAAAGCAGGTTTAATTTAAAAAATCAGTAGCAGGGCGATCAAAATTTAAATCATTCGCATGTAGCATCTCGTCAGTATTATTGAATTTGGAAGACTTTTTGCAATTCAAGTCAAGCCATAGGTACAGGGTGCTAAAGAAAAGCAGTCAAACGTCAAAACTTTTGAAAAATATTGAATAACTTGAAAACGTTTGATATGCTAGGTACTTATAGAGAAATGTGGTATCAAACGACGTAGATTTTCATGTAGATTTCGAAAATGCAATAAAATACAGGGTGTTCTATTTAAAATAAGAAAGTTGCTTCCGATTGTACCGGAATATGAAACGATCACGGTAATATTTTCCTTCGATAGAGCATAAAAAACTATGTTGGTATGCAAATTTGTAGATTTAAATTATTAATGGGAGTCTGAATACTTTTAGGTAACGATTTGCGTGAAACAGACTGAGCAAGAGATAGAAACTCATTACTTCTTATTTTCATCGTTCCATCGTTAACATCAGATCATTAATGAGCTCCTAAGCGAGGTTATGACTTTGGACTTTCTGTCCGTTCGTTCGTTTGTGTATATGATAATTCGCGAACGGCTTCGAATTTTCCAATTCTGTTGTTTTCATAGTATGTTTACCATTTCAATTGTGTCATAGAATTATGCCCTTACTTGCGGACTTGCCCTCAGTAATCATTTAATTTTTTGTCGGTATGATGTCATCATTGATTATGTAAGAGCAATTAGACTAAAACTGTAACTTTATGTGCGTCCATAGTATTGTAACCGTTACATTCATCTGCGTCCATATCCTTACATGTATTTGAACCTTCCGTGGCCATCCTATGTGTGGTACAAAGTCGCACTGATCGGCCCCTGTGCGTGTAATGTTAAAACCACTGTCTATCCCTAGTTTGAGGTAACTACATCGTAGGCAAAATGGGGATGACCCCGAAAAGCCTTTATATAATTAAAAAAAAACCTTATACGCTTACCTCTTCAAACATATTTTACTTTCCAACTACTGTTACCTCATACAATGTTGGACTTAATAGTCTACGTATTATCTAGTATTTGTCTTATAACATAATTAATTTGAAATAAGAAAACGTGCAAGTTTAAACTCTTTGCACGTAAAATAGCCGACTGAATTCTATTCTGCCCGACATTTAAGTTCTTTTACTATTTCCGACAAATGGAATGTCTAGGACTAGGACAATAATTTGGGAATAGAAGGTTTTGATTCAGAAAATAAGGAGGAGTAAGAAATATATTGTTAGTTTATATTGTAATGTTGTACCTACAGTATGATCTGTTTTATCGCAAAACCCTACGATTAAAGTAAATTCCTCGAGATATTTACGATTTTGTGGAAGCAGACAGTCGAATCAAGTGAATGTGTACCTATTATTTAAATGTGCGACAAGAAATGAGACACAAAAGGGCGAGTACAAACAGCTGTTTTGGCTTATAAACTTCAGTAACCTTTGCGAATGTATAATGCACATTGCCTAAAAATCACATTGTATTTTTTCATATTTATTCAAATTCATGATTCATTTGACATAGCAAATGAGTAAAAGATTAACTAAAAGACCCTAACTTGGGGTGGCTATACTGCGTAAGAAAATGTTTTCATTTCTTCTGTTTGCATTGAAAACAAATGCCGAAGCAATAAAAGTGTATTTTTAAATGCTCCTTTATGATGCCATATAATCCCAACTAAAAAATTATAATATTAGCAGGGAAATTAATTTCCGTAAATTATGTGCCGAAACCATCATCATCTGTAAGGAAGGTGCATACATCAGAAAGTGAAAATCTAATCGAGAGAATCAAACCTTGTTTAATGTTACCCCCTCTCAAACGTATATAGGGCAAATATAATTTGTGAACTCATCCTTTGCAATTTAACAATGAGGGGAAGGGCTAGAAGCGGCCCTTACACTGAGAAGGGAGTCAACTAACCAATAAGAAGTGAACATTTCTAACGTTAAGTCAAAAAGGGGAACCCATTCATATTTAGGGTAGATCAGAAATAATTTCGAAAACTTTCGACCTCTCTAAAAGACTTACTGTTGTTTGCGACTTCACATTAATATTATCTGTTTAAGTGGAAAGAAATAATTTGTTAAGTGTGCGTTTATTTTTTGACTAAGTATGATTAGTGTTGTTGGAACTAATATTTCTAGTGCTTTACGCGTTGCTCCCTCAACATCTAGTAAGTTCATTTTTAAAATTATTGCATTTTTCTCTTAAACGGAATGAATATTGGTTATATAATGATGATTTTTCTCGAGGTCGCATTCTGGATATTCCCTGTAAAGTGTGCGGTGACAACTCGTCTGGAAAACACTACAATATATTTGCCTGTGATGGATGTGCGGGATTTTTCAAAAGATCTATTAGAAAAAACCGACAATACGTTTGTAAGGCGAAGTCGTCGGGAACTTGTGTTGTAGATAAAACACATAGGAATCAATGCAGAGCATGCCGATTGTTAAAATGTCAAGAAGCTGGAATGAATAAGGATGGTAAGGATGGTACATCTATGCTTAGGTATAATTAACTAACTCAACTTGATTTGCAACAAAACTTCCAATCCCAGTAATCAAATTCTGAACAAATTAATTAGTTTGTAGACGTCGTTTGTAACAGTTCTAATAAGTCGATTTGAAACTACAATACCTTCCTATTAATTCTTAATCTTAAATCGTGAAGTGCATATTGTTAAGTCTTAAAGGAGCAATTACATACAACGCAAACACTTGAAATAACTTTTAAGTTAAAAGTCCTTAAGAAAAACCAGGTGCAATAATATTTTAGTGTGCTTACAATCTTTACAAAATATTTGTTTTCACAGCGGTTCAGCATGAACGGGGTCCTAGAAACTCCACTTTAAGAAGACAACAACAGCAAATGGTACAACTACTAAATGAAACTGCACCAAAACTAATGAATGCGCCTCCGAATGCGGCCATCGATCTAGTTTTGCCTACTTCAAGTGCACCACCTAGATTTCATCCACCACTGCCTTTGAGTCCGAGCGGAACGTTCTTTAACCAACCACCCATTCCCATTCCGAGGGTAAGTTTACCGTATAATTTTCCGACGCCTACTTATTCTTAAATTTAGATTCCCTTTGGGTTTCACGCGCCGCCTCCCGTTGTCTTAACCGAGACGCTAAACCCCAGCCACATATGCGAAGCAGCCGCGCGTTTGCTTTTCTTTAACGTAACGTGGGCGAAAACTGTGTCCACATTTACATCTTTAACTATAGAAGATCAGTTATTATTACTGGAGGAAAGTTGGAGGGAATTATTCATATTAGGCGCCGCACAGTACCTACCACCCTTAGAACTCGGTCCCTTAGTTCACTGTTCCAGCTTGGTAAAACGCGAACCGGAACGTTTAGCCGCGCTCGAAAAAGACGTTCTGGATTTTCAGAGCGTTCTAACGAGGATCATACAATTTCGCGTAGATCCCTACGAATTTGCATGTCTCCGTGCTATCCTACTGTTCAAAACGACGTTTGATAACATGTCGCCGAATTCGAAGCTTTTAAAAGATGCCGAGAAGGTAGTTGGTGTACAAGAGAACACGCAGTTAATGTTAAATAAGTACGTACTTGCCACTTATCCGTCACAACCTTTACGTTTTGGAAAACTTTTGCTTCTTCTACCTGTACTTCAAACTGTGAAATCAAGTACAATAGAGGAACTATTCTTTAAAAATACCATCGGTAATATACCTATAGTAAATATAATTTGCAATATGTATAGAACCACGTTAAATGATTAAGTGTTGGTGGCGGATCATTGCTCGCAAGTTGCAGGTTGTGAATTAGGTTTACGTTTAGGTTTCGATTTTAGAGCACAATTTTTGTTTGTATTGTTTTGAAGTAGAAATGCACGAGAAGTGAGCCGGTCGATAAAATTATTTCGCAATATTTTACTTAATAAATACGTCTGTGATCAGTTAATAGCAGCACATTATGTAAATATCGATAGAATTAGGCTAAACTGAACTAAAAATGTTTATAATGTATAGGTGCTGTAGATAAGAATATATTAAATAAAGAAATTATGTGCATGTAAATATGACATTTTTGTGATTAAATATTAAATTTTTATACGTATCATACGTGTTTTCTAATTTCTTAATGGGACCTTTTCATCCATCACCAAGATTTACATCTAACGTTAAACTATTGACTCCTAACAGAATTAGATACATAGAAATAATAAAGAGCACAAATTAAATACATTGGAATCATTGAAAATCGGAACTGTCTGCTCACTCTCGTTTGATACCTAAGCTATTTTTGAATGAGAATTCAATTTCTTTATAAACCGAAAAAGACCTTCAAAGAGAAATTTTTTACTCGAAGGAATATTGAGAAACTGTTTTCATATTCTCATTGCCGAAAACTTTCGATTAAACCTATTTCAGCCAGTAACAAAGCAACAGCGAAGTAAGATTCTTTGAATCAATGCTTATATTTGTTTATATCGCATCATCTTTTTTCGAATTTTTTGTGTTCGCGAGTTGATCAAATTGGGACGCTATCACATAAAACATTGCAAATAGGTTTGTCCTAAAGAACTCTTTAAAGTTAACTGAAATACACCTTTCTGGTACTGATATCTGGTTCTGAGGTGAAAAGAACCAAAATTTGCCAAATAGGAGAAGAGTACATTACATATCCAAATGGAGGTGCTTAGAAAGATTCGCTACTCTCATTGAAATTGAGTATTCGACATGGATCCAATATTAGTTGTTGCAAATTACAATTATTCCGACTGCAATACTTTATTCTAACGCGTTTCAGGGAAAGTACCTCACTCGTCCGTCTGTTTGTACAGGGTGAGTCAACGATTGTGCGGAGTAACTTAATGCCTTGAAGATAAATAAATTAATAAATAAATAAATAAAGATAAGATTTTTCGATAGAGTGCTTTTGTATTATGATATGGTTGACTATTGCCCTCAGAAAATTTCAACCAATGATATTAATGCATATTACAGAAATCACCTAGCAACAGACAAATATCCTCGAGTATTCATGCACTTGTGCAATACCCGCGGGTATTGATTATGTGTAAATACCTAAAATGAAACTTAAATAAATAATTCCAAATTTTATTAACGAAAATTACAATTTGTAAAATGGCAATTTGTAACTGAACCCATGCTTATTTTCGGGTTCATGCTTTTTGAAAAACCATGTCTTTGAAAGGATCGAAACAAACATTATATTCTTCTTATCTTGCAAAATTTTTGTCGGGCAATAGTCATCCCGTATATCCCTCGTGCACGCCAAATACCAGATTTGAGTGGCGTGCACTTGGGATATAATACTTGAATATTCTCCGCATTTTAAAAATATTTGGAATTATACAGGGTGCGGCCACAAAGTAGGGCGCCGAAATGGTACATTTTTTAAATAGAACCCCCTGTATTTGAATGCATTTTTGAATTCAACGTGTAATTGTACGTCTTTTTTATTATATGGTTAATATCCACGAACATGATGTGCACTCACTATAAATTCAAAATCAAATCAACTAATAAACAAGCATTAATCCAACATTAACCTCACGTTTTCTAAATAAATTACTGTGATACATGTCATTTTCCAAAGCTGCAATAGTCTCAAAACTTGAGCACTAGGAAAATTCCCCTAGAAAATAACTAAAATGTGCACATCATGGAGGCGCCCATGCTAGGGCCATTTCTACCTCTATGCAACTGTTTGATCAGCAGTCCATCTTAATTTATAAGTTCGTGTTAAAAACCGAAAAACTAGTAGTTTTAAAGATAATTGATTTGTAAGAAAAATTGGCCATTCGCGAGCGTCAGTATATTGTCAAAATTATTACTTAAATTTTGATTCCAGGTTTTATATCTTTTATCCTGGGTTAAGTAAAAGTCAAATAAATACATCTACGTAAATAAAAGAACCAGTATGTTGGACGAAATTCAATGGAATTTATTGTTGCTGTTATGCGAACGATTTCGGCCTAAATGGCTATCATCAGGCATAGCGTCAAATAATAAAATTGGAATATTGGATATTTTTATCCCAATTTTATTATACGACGCTATGCCTGATGATGGCCATTTAGACCCAAACCGATCGCATAACAGCAACAATAAATTCCAATGAATTTCGTTACTCTATGATTTCGTCCAACATACTGGTTCTTTTATTTACTTAAAAATGAAATTCAAAATCTAAGAGTTTATCGACAAAATACATCTATACTATGAAACATTAAAAACGGATTAAAAATATAGCTTACATGGTGTCTCCTTCCAGTCAGTGATATTAGTTTCATTTTTTTATATTCACCTCGTTATTATGTAAATTAGAACTTATTTCAGATTAAAATATATAAACTAGGAAAACCAAGATATTTGTTTATGTTTTTACTATCAATTTTATTTTCCAGTTTTTAGACCTAAATGAATTATTCGAAAAATGAATTAATAAATATGATTTTAGCTTTGGACGAGGCAGATAAAAATTGCCTTTTTTCGCATGGCCACCTCGTTATTATGGCAATTACATCTAACTTATTTAAGATTAGCATATAAAAACCAGGAAAACCAATATATTTTGAAAAATAACAGAGATAGGTATAGGACATTATTATCAAAAGTTGAAGGTTTTTGGAAAAGCTAAAAGATGACAGAAAAATATACAGGGTGCCCATTTAAAAAAGGGAAATTTTTTAACATGAAGTTTTGCAACTTTGGACCTACCAAAAAAACACCCTGTAAGATATTTCTTTAATGCTTCATAGTAGATGTATTTATTTGACTTTTACTTAACCCAGGATAAAAAATATAAAACCTGGAATCAAAAATTAATTTTGACAATATACTGACGCTTGCAAATGCCCAATTTTTCCTACAAATCGAATTATCTTTAAAACTACGAGTTTTCCGCATATTAACCATATAATAAAAAAAAGACGTACAATTACACGTAGAATTCAAATATGCATTCAAATACAGGAGGTTCTATTTAAAAAAAATGTACCATTTTGGCGCCCTGTACATTCATGTACAAGGCGGTTCAAATTTGTGGTTTAACATTGAGATCTTCGTAATGGTGAGAGATAGATTAATGGGCGCAAAGTTGCCCCTTCTTGTGACTGCCAAATCACAACTGAAATTTTTTTTAAATCTTTAAAATAACTGAGATACCGCCGAAAAACTGAAACTGCCAGATTTCGTTTCCATTTGTCCTAACTTGAACGGTCGGGAATGAATGGTTTCCGCTCCTTCCATGGGCATTTTTTTCCCGGAGAATCTGAACCAGCATCAGCATTTCCATAGCACGGTAGATGTAGAAGTACTACTTTCTTATGGCCGCCATATTGGATTTCTACGGAATGAGAATGAGCATCAAAAAAATAATGATGTGTCACACTCTATATTTTGAAAGTTTCAAAATCAAATGTTGCATATTCATTTCTGAACAAAACATCCACGAGCAACTAGATTTTGCTCAATCAACATGATTTTCTTTTTTATCCTCTTTTTCATTCAGTAAAAATCCAATATGGCGTCCATAAGAAATAAGCAAGTGGCAGCCGGTAGCTTCTACATCTAGCGTGTTATGGAAATTCTGATAACAGAAACAGATTTAGATTCTCCCGAAAAAGTGCTCATTATAGAAGGTGCTAACGGAAACCATCCATTTCCGACCGTTAAGCTAGGGAAAATGAAAACAAAATCTGACAGTTTCAGTTTTTCGGTGATGTCTCAAAAGTTTCAAATGCGTTTATTTAGTCCCAAAAGGAGACGTATTTTCCCTAATTAACCTACACTGTATCTCACCGTTACGGAGATAATGATGAGCCACGAATCTTTGTTTTTAATTTTTTTTATTTTACGAATCTGAACCACCCTGTACAGTTATCCAAAGCTTTGGTAAAATATATGTATCTTATAATAAGTCTTTTTGGTACGACAAAACATCGCCACCCAACTATCTCCCATTTTGTGTATACGTAACTGTAAGTGGTGACTGGTGAAACGATATACCGCGTGATCGAAAAGTAGTGCGGACAGTTTGAATTTCCCGTAGAACTAAACATTTATAAAGTTGGTAACATACCAAATATAATTTTGCCAATTCCTTAAGTAAAAAACATTAAAAACTTAAAGCGCCCAATTTAAACTGTCTGCAGTTCTTTTTGATCATCATGATATTGAAACTAGATTAATTGTATCTCGAACATGTCAATAAAGGGCAGTAGGAAAATCCATTTTTTCCTTGCCTTCATTTTAAATAATGTGGCCGGAAAACAGAAGTGAAAAAATGTCATGAAATGCATTTAAGTTCAAATTATAAAAAAACTTAGTTTTGGATTACTTATTTGCATATTTTAAATATGCACAAATGTCCGGTGCCAAGTTTCGTCCAGACCACCATACTTTGCCGCATCCCCATTTAGAGGCGCCATTACCATGTGTTACGGTTGCTAAGTATAAATTGTGCACAACTCTTGTGCAGATAAATCGCAGTTTTTAAACCGAAATAGCTTAGTAGATACTTCGGTTATGTAACATGTTACATTTATCGATGTTTATACCTTATTATCCTGGTAGATGATTAATGGAGAGCGGACACATAAACATTTAAAGGCCGCCTGGCATACATTCAAAATGAAACGTTACCTATAAAAGCCCTTGTTGCGCCAACTTTCGGTGCGGGAACGCCTATGCAAATAAACGTTGGAACTGCAACATTTATAAAGGATAGAATTATACTGGTACAAAGTATTCATGAAATAATGTTTTTAAAATCACAGGTAGAAGTATGATTGCCACTCACAGTTCTCGCTGGTCGTGCGTCTTCTCTTAGTTCTAGAACCCCCATGCAAGTAGACGCGGTAACACAAA